AGTGCGCGCGATGGACGCGTCTGCGGGACTCTGTGCTCGCGGGATTTTGTGGGGCGAGAAAACGCGCGCAATGGGCTTCATGCCCGCGATCAGAAGTGCGCAAAACCGCCCTCAGCAGGCAAGCACATGGCATATGCATACAACCTGCGGCTGATCAGACACATACTTCGGAAACAGAGCAAACAGACTGATTGCACATGGCACAAGAAAAGAAAACGTTCCTCCCATAGAAAACCTCAGTTACTGGTGCGCGAAGTACCGCAATAAAAAGGAAAGAAGTTCGTTGGTATTTTCTGCTGTTTTCTTAGAAGCGAGATGCTGCAACGGGTCATTTGTCTAGTTACTTATTCAACGCATTACTGCATTCCTTTTGTATATCGCCCCCTTTCAGGTTCAAGAGGTTTTGTGAGCAACAGCTCACGTGGCGGGCGAGTTTTGAGAGAGAGCACGCAAGTATCAGCGACGGGACAGCGCGAGGTCGAAGTGCGAACAAGACAGGCAGAGGTAGAGTGCACGGCGTGATAGTTCTGATATGAGAGAGAAGGCAGGTGGGCGGGCGAACGGAGTGTGAGGATCTTAGCGGGGGACATTGTGGAGGGAGGATTTTGGCCTTCGGCCTGAACGGCTCTCTCTGAAACGGGAGCGGCAGTGAAGAAGTCTGTGTGTGTGCGTGGGAGAAGTTTTAGGGTTTAGGTGTAGAAAGGGTTAATACTAGGGTGGAGAGAAGGGGGGAGGAGAGAAGGTAAGCGAAGATGCCGAAGAAAATGGGCGTGAATAGTAAGGCTGAAGAAGCACGGAGCCGAAAGGCAGCGGTAGCAGCGGAGGTCAAAGTTAGGGAGGAGAGGCAGAAAGAAGAGCAGTACTGGCAAGGAGCGGAGGGGCCTAAGAGCAAAGCGGCCAAGAAGAAAGAGGAAGAGGCGATGAAAAGAACGGAGCAGGCGGCAAAGCGCGCCGAGGCAAAGGCCCTGGCAGAGAAAGAAGAGAAAGAGATGGAGAAGTAAGTTGTTGCTTCTTAAACCCTTCCTTCTCCTCCCTGTTGTCCTATTGTCAACGGAATCCTATCTATCCGCCTTGCCCCTCGCTCTCTATTTCTTTTTCCCACCTTTCTTAACTTGATGATGTCCGTAATCTACGTACGACCAACGTCAGCTCCTTTCGATTTTCTAGTTGGCTTTTGCGGGATTGACAGGTGCTGAGGCATCGGTTTGTCAGTTTTTGGGTAGCAGCGAGGTTCGAACCCTTGTTTACTATCTTCTTCGAATACAGGCACACGAGCGATCTGTACCTACCTACATACCTTGTACGAAGTACTGTGTCTTTCGCCCTCCTCCTTCCCAATAGCAGTTGGTGGGTTTTGCAGAATCTTGATGGGGTTTGCTAACTGCGCTTATTTCTTCCAGTGCTCTCTGAGGCCGTCGCGTTTGTGAGTGTTGTCGTATACATTATGCTCGAGGATGAAGTTCGTCCATGTATGCATTATGCTCTCTGAGGCCATCGTGATCTGTACCCACCTACCTTGACGGAGTACTGTGTCTTTCTCCCCTCCCCTTGCCAATCGCAGTTAGTGGGTTTGCAGAATCTTGATGGGGTTTGCTAACTGCGCTTATTTCTTCCGGTGCCTACCGAGGCCATCGTGTTTGTGAATGTTGTCGTATACATTATGCTTTTATGAGGTTCGCCCGCTTTCGATCTGAAGCATGACGATGTAAAAATAATTTCACTTGGACAGATATTCCTAGGTTTCTTCTTCCCCCCTCCCCTGGCCCCCCCTTCCCGCTCCTCCCTGGCTCCCCAACCCTCCTCCCTCTCCCTCATTCGGATTGTCTCGCATCCGCAATAACTATCATGGCCATGATGATTAATGTGCCGAAGTCGTCAGGGCTTACCGGGTTCTTCCCGCCAATAGGACCCGACGATTTCGGGTAAAAAAACGCCGAAATTGCGGCCAGGAACGTCAAAGTTACATGCCGAATGTAGTAACTGGTGAGGTATGTCGGCTGGACTCGAAGGGTACATCGCTGTTTGTCAAGCAAGCGGAATTCTCAAAACTCGAGCTGTGTTTGTTTGTTTGTACTGTGTTTTCCGCTACTCCCCCCCCACGTTTCGCTCAAAACGTGATGGTGTCCATTCTTGTGAAGCTGCGGTGATCTCGCCTGCCTGTCGGTCGCATGAGTGAGCTGTCTGGACGCGGAGTTATAGTACTCAACTGCGACATCATCAGTCAATAATTACTTCGTAATTGATCACGCTTCGATCGCGTCGCGTTTTGGTTAATCTGATGATCGTGGTGCTTGCTTGATTGCTGGCTTCAGGAGGGTCATCAATTTCGGCGTCAGTTGTTAATTGCACGCGCAAGGCATCGCCCTGGTTTTTGCAAAAGCAATCAGATTAGGGGGAGTCGAACTTAGGACTGACTGTCACAAGAGGCGAAAGAAATCACCACCAGAGGTTGCCCAATCAATCGACGAGGGAGGAGAATGATCTGATGATGATGATGATGAGTAGGGGTGGTGCTGACCCTCGGCAGCGTTCGTCGCCTTCGCGTTCATTCTTCTCTTTTTTTGCCCTTACGAGTTCTATCAATCGCTCTCCTTGTGGCGATTTTGTACATGTCCTGGTGTTGATTTGCGATCTGTCATCTTTTGACACGACTGCCCTTTCGAGTTGGAGGGGGTGGTCATTCGTGTGTAGTAGTAGAAGATAGCTGCTTGGCCCACTCTCCCTATTTCTGGCCACGACTGGCCTTCTGAGTTGGGGTTTTTGGTCCCTGTGTGGTAGCAAATAGCTGATTGATTGGCCCGCCCTCCGTTTTCTGCCCACGATCTTTGTTGTAGAGTGTTTGTTTGATGAGCGGGGGGGTGGCTTTTGAGGTGAAAATCTGTAACTGAAATCCATTTTTTCTTTTTTTTTTCTTTTTTTCAGTCATCTACAACACACTAAAGCAGTTTTGATCTGTGTCAGTGACGTGATGCATCAGCAGCAGCACGTAGAGGAGACGGATTTCTTCAGGGCTTTGGCTGCTGCGTGATAGCTGTCCTGCGCGTTTCTTTTCTTTTTTTTCTTTGTCAAACGGCGGCCTGGTGAAGCTCTTGTTCTCGGGGGAAGGTGGAGGTTTGGCGGTAGGGCGGCTTTAGTGAGACGCTCATCTTCTCCCGAGCAGAACACACCCTAATCGTGAATGTATGCAAGCTATAAATCCGGCACAATTCAGTGGGAATTGATCGATTGATACAATGCTTTGAATCCTTGCCAGGTTTTCAGCTTTTACCGTTGTTCTTTCCCCTCCACCCCCCCCTTTCACTTGCAGTGAAATATGAAATGCCGATTGTTTCACATTGTCATATCTTGGCGTTTTTTTAAAAATTCATTTCTCACGTTTGACTGCGGCATACATCGGCCTCAGTGAACTTGGTCCTCGCGTTATCCTTCGGTTGGGGGGACTTCAACTCCAGTCTGCTGGTTGCGAGCTGCCGTTCGGGGCTCGAAGTCGAGTGCAGGCCTTGACCCAGTGCACTTGACCTTGGTCACACAGCTTGCTTTTTCTGTTTTCGCGACTAATCGATGATAGTATGTAGACATAGATCTGCCGGTCGCCAGTGAGTATACGTGCCGCTCAACGTGTGGGCGGGGGACTGTGTCGGCGGGGGACCTAGTTAGGTAAGCGCTGCTACCCCCTCCCCCTCCTCCCCCTTCCCCCCCCTCTCCCCCCCTGCTCCTCGTCTTGGCGAAGATCTATCAGGCGGTGACGAAGGGGGCTCCGAAGCTGCTAGTGGCCACTTATTCGACCAGATGCATTACATGGTCTGGCTCGTCCTATGCGTTGCGGGATTCGTCATTTTTGTTATCGCTGTTGTGGCTGTTATGGTTGCGCTGATGACGTGGGAGGAGATTGTAGAAAGTGTAGTCTAATCTAAGATGTTGTCGTTGTAATATGAATGCGCCGAAGTCGCGCTCTTTTTTCTTGTTGGTGTGTGTGTGTGTGTGTGTGTGTGTGTGTGTGAGAGAGAGAGAGAGAGAGAGAGAGAGAGAGAGAGAGAGAGAGAGAGAGAGAGAGAGAGANAGAGAGAGAGAGAGAGAGAGAGAGAGAGAGAGAGAGAGAGAGAGAGAGAGAGAGAGAGAGAGAGACTTGCAATATTGGACAACACGTGCGAGGCTTTACTTTCACAGAATACACGTCCTGTCCATGGCATGCGACAAAAACAGTCGCGACTAGAGAGAGAGTCGGAGACGTGGGAGGAGATTGTAGATAGTGTAGTCTAATCTAAGATGTTGTTGTTGTAATATGAACTCGCGGAAGTCGCGCTCTTTCTTTTTGGGGAGAGAGAGAGAGAGAGAGAGAGAGAGAGAGAGAGAGAGAGAGAGAGAGAGAGAGAGAGAGAGAGAGTTTGTGCTCATCTCTAGGGGTTGTTCAATGTAGGGCAAGGTCAAGGCATATTTTTGGGAGGCAACCCCTTCTTTCCCCTCCCCATCTCATTCAGTCGGCGAGTTGGCTCAGCATCTCCGGAAGAGGAGGTCGGGCAGTTTTTTTTTCGGGAGATGCCCGTAGCAGTGTTGGCACATTTAATGACTTCGTATGCAGGCCAGATGCGGGGTCATGTGTGCTGCTAGTAGGGTAGTTGTTCCTGCTGTGCTCGCATTGCTCACCATTTGTTATGCCGAAGTACGGGGGCCAAGTGAAACGGGCGAGTGGAATATACGTAAGGAACCGGCCAATCGCCCAAACGCACGCAATGCCATGCCAAGTTAATCGCAATGGTCCTGTGTGTAGTGTTCGCGATACGTGTAACCGCTTTTTGGTGTGACGGCAGCTGCCTCAGGAAGGAAGTATTCTTCGGTCTCGACTCCCACCGAGGCTGGACTTGCTCTTTCTTCGTTCAGAGGCAGGCTTCCCATCGAGGCCTTGAGCAGCAGTTCCTTAGTGGTTGGGGACCTGGCGTGGTCCGGCGCGTGTTTGTTTTTTTGGTTGGTTGGTTTGTTGGTTCCAACTGGTGGACAACTGTTGCTGGTAGCCTGCTTCTGCTAGCCTGCTTCATTATTTCAAAAACATTTATTATATATTCATGTCTGCTCTTTTCATCGCCATCTGTGCACTCGTCATTTCGCCTTCATGTCGGTTGCTTTCCTCGTCGTCTGCACATGGTAAGAGAAGTGAGCCAGGTGCGCTCTGGCCAGCGTAGTTCCACGGCAAGCACCAGAAATCCCTTCCCTGCGAATTACGGACAGGCATACTGATGGGTGGACGTGGAGGAGGCGGGCTCTCGAGAGTTTTTTTATCTGCCCATCATATCCATCAACCCATCCATTTTTCGACCCGGCGAAGATGCCTCAGCTCGTCTACCCAGCGAAGATACCCCTCAAAAAATGGATGCTGCCAACCTCAGCCCATCTACCCGGCGAAGATACCTGTCGAACATCATACCCATCATTTCGCGTGGAGGACAGTCGATGATCTACCCGGCGAAGATACCTCAGCTCATCTGGTTTAATTCGACGTAGAAAGCGGAAGCCATCTGACTTCCTTTCTCTCTGTCTCTCGACAGTAGTAGGCTGGATGCCCAAGGCAAGGTGTGGTGGTGACTAGATCCCAGCGTCCGGGTCGGGTCAGAGCAGGCACGAGACAAGTGTGCATGCACGCGGCTCTCTCTTGAGCGTGATCATTGAAGAGCACGATGATGGAACATCGGTTTGCAAATCCCGCGACAGTGGCGTTCTTCTTGCGCATCCTGTCCACGATGGCCTGCCTTCGCTGTGTTGGTTAAGAACGAAACACGCGTCATTCAGTCCCGAGCCTTTTTTCCGTGGAATGTTTCATGTTCAACCTAGGCTGCCGTTTTCACCCGAATAGAACGCCCGGTCATTATCGCTGTATTTAGACTGAAAGTTGGCCGAAATACAGCTATAACGAACGGGCGTTCTACTCGGGTGAAGACGGTAGGATCTGCAAGAGCGCCACAGGGAAGTGTGTGTCATTCGTTTGAAGCACGGGGGTGTCTCATCATCATCGTCATCATCGTCATTATCGTGAGCATCATCTTCACCATCATCATCATCATCATCATGGCCATCATTTGTTTGGTCGTTCTTCACCGGCAACCGTCCAGTCTCCAGATTATGGCGCATGAGAAGAGAACATAATTACTGAGGGCGAAAGTCCAGGCAGAACAGCAGGAAGAAGCCTGCGTTCTCTGCTTGAAGACAGATGACATCTAACTACTACACCAGCAGGCCCACTTAACGAGTTCATTCCTGGTGATTGCAGTATGCGGCCACCAACTCTGGATGGAGCAACTTCCACGAGCACGGTGGTGGGTCTTAACTCAACGAGTCAACTAGCTTAATGTGAGGAGTCGGTTGCGTGGTCAGGTCAAGTGACCTGTGGCTCGTTGTGTAGGTGTAGCGGGCTGTACTAAGAGAGGTACACTTTTGGAAGGAAGATGGTGCATTTGCTTCTTCATGAAGCTAAGGTCAGGTATTGAACCGGTCTGGTATTTTCTCTTGCACAGGATCGGACGTCCTATTTACGGCATTATTATTTCTTAAGAATCTGCTATTTTCTTTTTAATCTCCAGAAGAAACGTATACATCTGGCCGCTGTGGCGAACAAAGTAAAGGTATAGACCGTTACGACTCACTAATTGGTCCTTGATCAGGCTCTGCAGACCTGCACAAGGCAAGGGTTGGGATAATTTTACCACCACTACGTTCTTTTTTAAACTGTCATTATTATCCATCACTTCCTGTCACTGGCATGGCCAGTTTGCGCCTGTGACCCTGTATGAGGAGAGAGGGATGTCTTTTGATTCTTTTCCCACCTACTTCGGCCCCTTTTCTCGCCACTGGCAACGCGGCGTCTTGTCTGGGTTGAATGTCCCTCCCTGCGCAGCTTGACCTCTTTCTTTCCCCCCTTCTTCACCCTTCCCCATCCCTCTGCACGCCCTCGGAAAGAAGATCCTTACTCATGGTCTCCTTTTAGTTGATTCTTGGGTCTGAAAATTGCTGATGCTCTCTTCCTAATGCTCAGGTGTGTTTCTCCTTGACCGCCAACGTCGTAACCCCTCAACTTCCTTGTCCTGTTTTCTGCCTGCTGATCACTTAGCATGCCAGCGGGCAGAAGAGTGACGATGTGGAGTATGGAGAAGGTTGATGGAGAAGGGTGACGATGTTAAGATGTGAGTATGGAGAAGGTTGATGGAGAAGGGTGATGGAGAAGGGTGATGGAGAAGGGTGACGATGTTAAGATGTGAGTATGGAGAAGGTTGATGGAGAAGGGTGACGATGTTAAGTATTGAAAAGCATCGTTGGCAGTGGCTTTGCCGGGAAAGCAAAGCGGATATTCCCGTCCCAGTCTCTCATTAGTAATGCGGGAGTTGTTGTGAATAGAACCTCTGCCTTGTGTTCTTCCCTCTTCTCTCTCTTTGAAGAACTTCGCATGCGAGTAACCAATTTAGAAGGAAAACATGTATTATCTTGAAGGTTTGCTGTTGAAGTTTTTTTTATATATAATCTCTGCTTGCCGTTACTGCTTGCTTTAACTGCTATGCGACCGGTTTTCCTCTAGTTGAGCAGTTATTCCTGTTTTTTAATATTTCTAGCAGCTGCGTAGTTGTTGCTTTGTTTCATTAACTTCCATGGGACTAGTTTAAATTTCCCTCGTTAACCCAGATGCCCTTTGTGAACAACCATCAAAGCTTTCCGTTTACATGGAAGGTAATTGATATGCTACCCCCTGTATTATTCACTTGGTTTCGTGTCTAAACCAGGAATAGCGCACGGTCTTGGTCGTATTGGGCCGGCCACTGATAAACTCTGTGATTATAAACACCATCTTCCTGTAACTAGAGCGTTCCTGATTTGCTCTTAATTGATTAATTGGTCACTGACGAGTGAAACGAGGTCCGGAGGATGCGAGCTATGCATGATGTGGAAGATGTCCGGGGGGGTGTGATCTTCATTTGACTTAGCAGGATCGGGAGGGTCTGGCCCTCCTTGTTTTCAGTCCTCCCTTCCATGTGATGGTTGTGCATGGGCCGGTGATACTTGCGGAATGGTGGCCTGTTTTCATGGGGGGGAAAGGGGGAGGTACGAGTTTTGTTACGGAATGATAGCCTCTTTGTTTTTTTGGGTATGGGTTTGTCTCGACATGGTCAGGGTGTACTTTTCTTACTGTTACTGTTGCAAGTTTGACGGGTCTGCTATTGGTCATCTTAGCAGCAGTTAAACTTCATTTTAGCGGTACTTGTGAGGCTTGACGAGATTCATTTCGCAGCTTTGATCACCCACAAAATGTGATAGAAAAATGGATCCAACAACTTCCCAACGTGAGTGCCAGTGCCTTTGTGTTGGCGGGCTCACGGTTGGAAGCATTGTGTCTACTGATTCTGATCGGTCCGTATTCATCATGATACCTTACGTGGCTGATTCTGTCAGAGGATGACGAAGCTGTGTAGCATGACCGCCACAACTGGAATGATGGTCACAGGGCAAGGTGCGCCCGCCCCCACCACCACACACACACACACAAATGGACTTTCCCCCTCGAGGGGATTGGCATCAACATCGTCATCATCATCATCATCATCATCATCATCATCATTCGTTGTCACTCGCATGATCGCAATTGTTGGTCAACCTTCCTTCACATCAGTGATCATTCATCATCATCACCATCACCATCATGTCAGGTGTGAAGAAGATCGATCTTCGGATCAGACCCCTGTGTTACGGAAGAAAGGACGTATGCCCGTTTTTAAGGTCGTGGGATTGGTTGCATATTACGGTCGATTTTGGTGCATGGAGATATTCGAGGTGCTCTGCTGGCTATTGCTGTTGGAAGAGGGACTGCAGAGTAACGTTGATGAAGTGGCTGCTTGGGACATTTTCATGAGGTATACATTCTTCTTGCCCTTAAATCGCTGCTAATTGATACCTTTCACGACCGCTTTGGGTAGCAGGAGACGCACCCCCCTTCTCTTGGTTTGGCGGCCACTGCTTGCCCCCTTCCCTTGTCTGCAGAGTCTGGTGAAGTTTCTGGGGAGGTAGTGGTGGTGTAAGAGGGTTTCTGTCCTTTCTGCCATGATATGCGTGATTGGGCGGCGGAGAGTTCCAATGAGGGGAGTCTCAATGGATCTGGCATGACATGAGCGTGAGTGATTGTTGATTGCACGGAAAGGAATATACTTTGGTCAGCATCGACCAGTGAAAGTTTCTGGTCATGGATGCAAATCACCTTGCAGTCCTTCAGCCAGGATCGATTGACCCTGGATCGTTCACCATCGTGGGTCACATAAGCTTCCGTCTGTTTTGTGCCACAAAGTCACCTATCTGTTCTTACAATTTGTTCATTCGAGATGATAGTAGACAGCGAACTCGTTATTTTGCCTGATATCCAGCTAAAATTTACATAGTTTTTGCCTAATACTATGCGAAGGTGATATCCAGCTAAATTTTACTTAGTTTTTGCCTGATATCCAGCTAAAATTTACGTAGTTTTTGCCTGATACTAGGCAAAGGTGATATCCAACTAAATTTTACTTCTTTTTTGCATGATATCCAGCTAAAATTTACTTAGCCTCTACAGGATCTAGGGCCAGGGTCTAAGGCTACCTTAAAGTTACTAACCAGAACTAAGCTATCCTAAGGTTATGGGTCTACACCTACCTATATCAGGAGGCCCAAGCCAACAATCTCCGCTGGTGAATCTGAAGCATACTCCCAGGAGGCTGCCGGGATCGAAAGGACGGTGTTGGGCATCGAACCCACGACCTCCTGAGTGTCACTTACATGCTCAACCAACTGAGCTAGCCTGCTTGGGCACTGGAGCTTTTTTCTGTTTCTGCATTATACTAGTTTTTGGCTGATACTTGACATAGTTTTTGCCAGATACTAGACTTGTGTTATTGGACAGAGGATAATAGATGTGAAGCCTACTTCCAGCCAAAATTTTCACAGTTTTTTTATGTATTAATGATTCTAGTCTTTGGTAAGTTCGAGGAATATAGGATCCTGATATATGCAGCTGGTTGTTATATTTCTCCTGCATTTTGCATAGTTTCTTACTGAAGAAAATGTTAAGATAAATTCCTCTGTGAGCTGTTGTGGTATGCTTTTTCGGTCACTTGTGTGATGAGTTATTTGTATGTCCATGCGATATTATTGGTATGCTATATATCATCAAACAGAGCTGCGCAGTAAACCGTAGGCAGAGAGGGAGAAGAGGACAATAAGCAAGGGGCTGTGACAAACTGTTTTGTCGGGTGTCTTCAAAACTGCAATTAGCAAAAAACACTACTCATTTTTCATCCATGCAAAATTCCTTTGTGGTCCTTTGTGGTCCGGCTGTAACGTACGAGTTCTTTCTGCTGCACGATGAATGTACAGGAACCATGCAGGAAGGAGAGGAGAGGATGGTGTTAAACCATGTAAGCGTAGTCATTGCCACCAAATGGGGCTGTAAATTCAATGAGAAGTATCGTGAATCGCTTGTGTATTGGATTGTTAGTGTTTTTACATTTGCCCGAATGTCCTTGTGAAACGTCCGTGCTGGCTTTTCAAACGTCAAAAGGCTGTTTGCTTTTCAGGGGTGTGCAGCTGATGATTATGAAATCTATTTTTGGTATGCAATGACAGGTATGGGAAGAAGCCCGCGCAGAAGGTCAATCAGGTTGCCGGTCATGTACCGAAGGTCACTGCAGCCGATCTGGCTAAGCGACGAGAGGAGGAGCGCAAAGAAACTGAGGCCAAGGCGGAAGCCATGAAGGCCAGGGAGAGGAGAATGACGGCGGAGAAGGATTACGATAACATGGTGCTCCAGGCGAATACCAATAGGATAGAATCCCTGATAGATGCAAGGAGTGTGGACGAGGCCTTGTCACAGATGACGGTTGGCGATGATGTTGCTGCAGACAGGCACCCTGAGCGACGACTCAAGGCTGCATTCAAGGTAAGCTTGCTCGATGAAATACGTATGTGGCTTCCTGTTCTTCCTTTTTCTTTTACCCTTGTCTTTTTTTTTCTTTTTTCCTTTTTTCTTTTCAAAAAAATCCTGTGTGTAGTAGATGGTGGTGACCAGGCCTCAGGAGGTGCCCGTAGTACTCATCCATTGGGAAGTCAGATGGATTGCGAGGACCCAGGGGGAGTCACCTCAGGATGGCACCATGGTACCATGATCTAATGCTCAGTTCGCAACTCGTGATCTGCACCAATGCTTACAGGACTAACCCAAACGTCGTTGTGCACACACTACCCTAACTCTAATGTTAAGGACGATCCGTGCACAGGTGGGGTCCATACATATGCAGTCATCCCCCATCTGTCCTCGTCCCGCAGACTCTAGGGGCAGCAAACCGCCCTTCCACTAATATGCGATATCCTGCCCTCCCCTATCCGAAGCATGATCCCTTCCTACCTCAGGCTCCCCAAGAATCCACAGTCCCAATGAATTCCCCCAATGCAAATTCCCGTGGACCCCAACGTGGATGAAGTGCATAGGATTATCCTCCCTGAGATGGGCCCTACCGTAGTCCAAGTTCGCTCTGTGTGGACTCTTGTACGGGTGCCATAGTGATGGGAAACATACTTGCTGTACCCAGGCTCGATCATGGCACCCCCACGGACTAGTACATACTGGTGAGACTGACAGATTGGACGGTCCAAGTGGCCACGCAGAGGTATCGACAGTTTTGACAGTTTTGGCAGTTTTTTGTTTATCGACAGTCTATGCAGTAGTCCTCCCCCCAACCTATCCGCTC